AAAATCTCAAAATATCTATACTTTCTAACTTTAAATTATTTCTAATTAGCATAAATTTGTTTTATTTACAAAATAACTTTGAAGGGACTTAATCAAATAAATAGTGTTGATCTGTGATAATAAGAATTATTTAAAGTTAGTATAGATACATTTTAAGATTTTTTTAATATTATTTTTTTTATATTTTGTAACGCTATGGTGATTACTTTCAAACTGAACCAATGAATGTAGCCTAGTCAATTATGTAAATTGTGTTGATTTGTGATAATATGCAAAGACTGTTGTTAATACTTTTGTGTTGAATGTAAAACGTTTAGAACCTGATTTTGAAAATAAAAAAAAAATATATATAAATAAAAGCAAATAAAAAGTTTTGGCTGTCTAATTTTATTGTATTATTTAGTTCAAAAACAAATTTCCATTCGCAATGTAAAACTATGGTTTTAGCAAGCTTTTATTAGCGGTGACGACTGGGATGATTTCTAAGTGGAATCCCATTCGTCACCTGGGGGTGACATATGGGATTTTTTTTCAATATAATTCCCACTTGTCACCGGAGGGGACAAAGCTTGGGGTGACGAGCGGGAATAACCGCGGTAAACGAGCAGACGGATCACCTGATGGTAAGCAACCGGCGCCGCCCATGGACACTCGAAACACCAAGACGTTACAAGTGCGTTACAGGCCTTTTGGAAATTGGGAATTTGAGGATTGTGGAGGATTCGGGGATTCGGGAGACGAGGACTAATTGGGCGTAATTGGTCCTTCGGTGACCTCACTCACACGACGAAACACAACGCAAGCTTTGTTTCACGTCGGTTTTCTGTGAGGCCGTGGTATCTCTCCGGTCGAGCCGGCCCATTCGTGACGAAGCATGGCTCTCCCACACTTCACGTCACACAGCATTCGGTTTTTATGCAGTCTCGACTACGAATATCAAAGCTGCTCGCCAGAACTCCATGGCAAATCTAATAAAATTTACTAAACGCTAGCCACAGTGCCTGTTGATACGTGTTTTTGCGATCACAGATATTTCTAAACCGCGCGTGTTAAATCGCAGTGCGTGCTTAGCCTTATAGTAGGTACTAGCTTTCGTCTATGTATGTGTGGAATTTAGAATGATATTTTTATTCTTGCTGCAGATGGGATGAATTTGATTATGGAAATTTGACATTCTATATACTAATCTAAATAATAAACAGACGAAATAAGATAAATTTCAATAAAATTATTTATTAATGAAGAACCCCTCCTTCGAGGTTCAATCTTGAATTGGTTTTTGATATCAGTAGAAAAAAGTAACTGAGGCAGTTACTTTTTTGGCCGAGTGGTCGCAAGTGCGACTACAGGGCAAGGAGTCTCGGGTTCGATTCACGGGTCGGGCAAAGTATTACTGGGTTTTTTTAAAAAAGATCTCAGTGGTAGCACGGAGTCTGGAAATGTGCTCGGTATATATGACAATAGGCTCACCCCCTATTACATGGGTCTCATAACATAAATAGTGAAAAGTGGGTGTTACTTCTGTATGCACCTCTGCTTACCCCTTCGGGGATGAAAGGCGTGATGTTATGTATGTGTATGTATGTATAGAAAAAAGTTTTGTTTTCACGTCGGTTTTATTTAGAAAATTATCTGGTCGAGAAACTAATAACAAGTTAAACAGGAAAAATCGGTCGAAATTGGTATAGGTACCAATAAACCTATACCAATTTCGACCGATTTTTCCTGTTGATCCTGTTTATAATGTATCAACCACACAACAATAACAATAGTCTTGAAGATTTGAAGGTTCTCGCCATATCATTGGTCAAAAATTATAGATTGCTTAAATTTCTTATCAATAATAGGTACTCGTCGGTCAGATTAAAGATTATTTAGATTTTCAATCCCATTTATTATCCGTAGGAACTCTGCTTTTAATATCATTGATATTCGACTATTGTTCCTGACGTCAGTCACATCGGGCTCACCACCATACGTGGCCCGCGACTGCTGCGATCGACGGTCATTCACTCACTCGCTCGCCCGACACGACGCCGTGCGCACATATCGGTTGACCCTTAAAATCAGTACCTATTGAAATACAGTCTTCTCATCATACCGAAGTCTTTTATTATTCAAGACCACCAGCAAAACACCTGGAGCTTGATATTCAAACAACTATTTATACAGGAACTCCATAAAAAAACTTTCTCGAACATACAGCCACATTATCGCATCAAAATAAAGCCTCTGTTACACGAAACGAAATTGAATCTCTTCAGAAAATGGTTTCGTGTAACAGGGATCAAAATGGCGTCTTTACGGCTAGATAAATATCGTTTAATGCCTGCGTATCGTCGATAAGGAAACGTTTAAAAAAAGCTTATGTTTTTTTTTCCAAATCCTGGCTTTTTTTGTAACAAACATTTTGTATGAAAAGTGTAGGATGTCGTTAAGTAGGAGTGGGATCTTGGGTGTGATTTTTAGGAACAAAGAATGACATTTAACGCTATCGGAGATAATATAAAATAAGTACCTATAGGTAATTTAAATCTCAGTAGGACGGAGTCTAGATAAATGTGCCCGGTGTATGGCAATAGACTCACCCCCTATAACATGGGCTCATAATATAGGTAAATTATAAATACCTAGTGAAAAGTAGGTGTTACATTGTGTAGTGGCATTACGTGCCCTAATGTGCACCTCTGTCTACCCCTTCGGAGACAAAAGGCGTGATGTTCTGTTATGTTTATGTTTTACCTATAATGTTAGATTATGTTCGATTTTTCTTGACTTAAATCTTATTAGTCTTATGGACTTTGTCAACATTGACGTTTTTTAAACAAAAGAGGTCGTAAAGTACTTTTTTTATTTTTTTTTTACAATGGAAAAGTTTATATCGTACCACAACATCAAGTTGTAAACCTTACGCTGCCGCTGTAAATTTGCAAATGGCCAGCAAATTTGTTGCCCACCCAGTGTAGTTTTAGAGGCAAAGTTCTGTTGCACAGTTAGTGTACACTGCAGAAGGTTAAAATTAGCTTCTAGGAATTTACAAGCAGTGCTGCCAACCTTCTGGGCACTTTTCCTATTGACGTCGATGCGGACGAAATTTTTGATGCTGTCTGTATAATATTTTTTTGTAATAGTAATTTTTTGTTGTCTTTTATTTAATTTTCTCCATTACTTTTTTAGTTGAATTTAAGTTGTACATATTTATTTATTTCCTTATTTTTATATATCATGTAAATAAGTATTAATGACAAAAAAATATTAATTTGAAACGATAACAAATAAAAAAGAAGAAATCGTTGCTGAAAAATTCAGAAGTAATTTACTAATAGGTATGTAGAATAGTTTCACTAAAAATTACTAAAAGACAAACCCATTGTTGAGACGAACTTCAAAGATTGATTCTTTAATATAATTAACAGCCCAGGATTTATATCTGAAATTCATATAACACGTTTACTATCACTATGGACAAATAAACAGCCAAAAAATCATGTAGTAGCAATCCCAACCATACTCAAAACAATGAACCTTCTGTTCCAAACTGCTGGGTACACTAATTGAAGAGCATTTCCGCGATATATCCTCCATTACCATCCCCGGTCCGGCATTTTGTATTGTTTTTTCAACTCGTTTACACTGCGATCGAGTAGAATGGACTACATTCAAGAATGTACCTTAATATCCAGGCTGATCGACTGTTTAACTGGGGAAAATGGCTTGAAAAAATGCTTCATTCTTCATTCCATCGCGTTTGCGAACTTTGCTCGATTTCTATCGGGGTTTTGCTTAGCTGTCGAAGTGGGACGAGATTTGTTGGTGATAGGAACAAGTTATAGTTGATTCGATGAGTTTGGCGAGGTTTAGTAGTTGCTTTTGTAAATTTAAAAGTAGTATTTTGAAGGGGATTTTGATGGGTTCGTTGATAGGTACTCTAAATGACTCGTCGATTCCGGAGCTACGGAAGTCTTAACAGGTTATTGGGGCTTCAGATCGAAAAGCAGAAGTAGGAACGGGGTGGGTTTTCGTCAGTATATAAGAATCTGACGGGAGGCGGAAGAAGTCACTGGATGAAATTCCCTTCCCAAAAAAGTGCCTCGTCGATTGAATGCTCAACCATGACTGCCAAGCAAAAGGTCATTGATTTGATTCCAGTATTGGGCGGAGTATGATTTGGATCTTTTCGTTTTTTCATTTAGGTATAGCGCGGAGGCACGGAACATGAAAGTTTGTCCATTCTGTGGCATAGACTTATCTCCTATTACACGAAGATCATAACATAACCAGTAAAAAGTGTGAAATGAAACGATATTTATTTCTGTAAACAGGTTAGAAAGTAACACTTTTGATGAGGGACGCCATTTCCTAACTGACTACTCTGAGAAGAAACACTGAAACAAACTCAGAAACCGTGTGTGTTAAATTGTATAAAAAGGATGATGACGGGGGTATGAAAATTAAAAATCTATTTAGTTCGTCAGTTACGTAATGCAAAAATTTAAGACACGTATTTTTTATTTTGTCGTATAATAAAACAATACTTAGATAAAACGAATCAAAGTTTAGGAGTGGGGGCTAAAACGTCATTTCTACGTATAAAATGTACATAGAAGTAACGTCACGCGTCATTTTACATCAATATATCGTCGAAACAATTAGTTTCTGTAAGAAAATAAAAGATAAGAGTCTGATGATTTAAAATAATCTACCAGACGGACATTAAAATAAAAATTAGGTATCTACCCTATTATGTGCATCTCGGTTTATGCCTTCGGAGATTTAATGTTCTTTATCCTGAATTCAGAACACATAGCTCACTAGTAACACTTGTGACTACTTACTCAACCGATGAGGCAGTAAGAAAAAAAGCATATATACGGTCGAATTGAGAACCTCCTCCTTTTTTTGAAGTCGGTTAAATTATCTCTTTGTCATAAATCCTTTCGATTATAGAAAATTGGTTCCAATCAATGTTTATTAGTTTTTAATTCGTTGCTATTCGAGATATGGCAAAGACAAGATGTGTTTTTTTAATTACTATTTTAATTTTTACAAGTTTTATCCTTCAAATATTTTCAACAAAGTTCCCTGAATTTTTAAACGAAGACGATTTAAGGGTATAATTTTTTTATGTTGTGAAAATCATCGGATGACTTCTCCCGCCTGGGTGAGGCGGGAGGGAGTGTCAGACTCTTACTGACTAAAAACCACCCGTTAAGTTCTCGGCTCCGGCCCAATAGGGCTGATGCCGTCAGCCCTATTGGGCCCCATCCGTGGTGGTCTGATGGCTCTTAGAGGTGCGCGCGGAACGCGACACGCCGTACGCTCGGGTCTGGTTCTGGTCGGGCGGCGAACCACCCATGTTCGCCGTCCGCAGGCCCGCGCTTACGGTGGCCGGAGATCGTCCCGCGATCCCTGAAGCCCGGTTAAGGGTATAATGGGGTTTTGTCTACGTATGTTTGATACGCTTTGGAAGGACATCATGTAGGAGTACTGCATACACACTTGGGAACATAAAAACGGAGCCACTAGCAATTTGTTCTTTTTTATTTCTTGACAATTATTTCCTAATACAAGTATTTTATTAATTGGTAACGCGTTTTTTGTAAAAGAAATACATATTTGTTTTAAATATAGAATGTTCGATCAAATGAAAATATAAAACGTTGGTGGCACCATTTCTTTACTCCTACCTGTACTTACAATTTAATTGTCACTAACAGGATCAATTTTATTAGTTTTATCTTAAGATGAATATTTAGATGTATAAACTATAGCGCTTTTTTCTTATTTTTAGAGTATGGGTGTGAAAAATCCACAGAAGAAAGTGTACCATCCACCTTCAGTTGAAAGAGAGGTAAGAATGTAGACACCAATCATCAATCACTAATCATCAACATCAAATGTCGTGGTGGCCAGGAGGTTTAAGACGCTCGCTTCTCATGCATGAGGGTGCGGGCTCGAAACCTACCAACGGCAAGTATCAATGTGACTTTTTCCGAGTTATATGTACTTTTTAAGGACACCACTGACAAACGGTGAAGGAATACATCGTAAGGAAACCTGGGCTTATAATTTCTAAAATTATAAGTTTGTAATCGCTAACCCGCATTGAGCAAGGGCGGTGATTAATGCTCAAACCTTCTCCGTGTTGCTGGCTGTTGATGATGATGAAGTCGGTTTTTTAAGCACAGTTTATACTTTTTGAAATACTTTAAGAATAGACTATCTTTAACTTTTTTTTGACAATTAAATCATCATTTATTTCAACAAAAAAAAATAAACTTAAATAACATAAGTATGAATTAATATATACAACTTAAAATACAATTAATAACTAAAATCTTAAAAATATAATTATAATGTTATCTACCTCTATATTATATAATAATTATAATGATTGTTTTTACATTTTATTTCAGCCGGAGTCCCCCCCACCAGGCTACGAATCGGTTGAATCAAATGAAATGAACAAAAATCGTAAACCTCCAAATGGATTGCCAATTGTAAGTAATTATAGCAACAAAACTACTAAAAAAATTACGCAACGTGTACTCTCTCTCTTTGTGTGATCCACAAATTGTTGTCACGGGTCTGGGCGTCATGTGTATATTGACTTGTATGTTTGTAAACGCACCCACGATACAGGAGAAAATCCTAGTGTGGGGTAACGCTTTTTAAAAGTCTAAAATATATTTTCAACATGAATTAAGCTGAAATTTTGTATAAAAAATGGCGAACATAATGTCACTTAGAAATGATTAAAGCACAAAAATGTCAGAGGGTTTTTTACTATATTCATTTGCAATGGGTTACTACGTTACCAGACCTATAAAAATGACAGATGTCCTTCGTGTCAATCTGTGTATGTTCTGGGCAATGATATTATAAATAATACAAAGAGGGTTCTGGGTGTAAATCTATACTAGCCAGCTATAGCTAAATGCCATTTAGCGCTTGTCTGCTTGTGGAGTAGAAAACCAAATTAGAATTGACGATTATAGAATTGACGTAAAATTTGACACTTCTCAGTGTCATCCCCATACATTTAGTTTTCTACTCTCTCTAAAGTGGCGTTTGGCTACAGCTGCTGATGCCAAAGCCGTTGTGTCAAGACACTGCTGTCCACATTTTTTTTAACGTCCTTGATCATCTAATCGTTTAGTTTGCATGAGCATAAATAATAAGCAAAATCTTTTTTACAAAGGGTTTTTATTAATATTTTTAATATTCCAGCCAGCTGTGCCACCGCCATTTTACACCTATGTAAGTACTGATCTAATGTAGTGAAGCCGGTTTTCAGCCAAGTTTTGTCGATTGCATCATCAACCACCACAGCTGGACAACTGACCTCGTATACAAAAAAAAAAATTGTAGTAAAAATTTTTATTTTTAATTGCATAACATTTTTTTTTTATAATTGCAGAAAAATTCAGAATTTAAACCGATGGTAAGTATATTATAAAGATTTTCGTAAAACTATAAAGGTGACGTCATACAGGTACACTTGTAAATACTTTACGAATAGACATCATACTTGTAATTACAATCAACAGAGGTTTATGACCGAATTATTGCACGCAATGACCTGATTAACTGTGCAGTTTTAACAATACAGTTGAACTGTACAGATAAATCGTAGATTCATAAAACCTATACACCTGTAGTTAAAACTGTATAGTTCAACTGTTTGTTCTACACTTCTTCCAATGTAATTGTACAGTTCGATTGTATAATAAAAACTGTACAGTTTTAACTGTACAGTTTTAACTGTACAGTTTTAACTGTACAGTTTTTATTATATTTTTTTATTTATTATTAATTTTTATATTATATAATTTATATATTATTATATTTACAGTTACTGTACAGTTATAATTAACTGTACAGTTTTAACTATACAGTGCTTGTTTAGCACTTAGGTAGGTAGCACTTAGTGAACCAAGCAGTAAATTCTAAACTATGGGACAATTGTTCGATATTGATTGTTATATTGATGATTATAATTGATTTATTTTGCGACAGGGTCGAGGGGATCCTAAAGACCAGAATATTGTTCAACAAATGGTAAGTTATGTAGAATAATGAAATAAGTAGATAAAGTAAAATAATTCAACGCCTGGTGGTCGTGGACTGTGGAGCTTGATTGATTCTCGGGTTGAGAAAAGTTTAGTCGTTATCATTGTCTACAAGAGAGGGGCGTGATATTAATAAGTTTAAGGATCGACTTTTTATAATTTTTATTCGTAGAATAAATTCGACACCTAGGATTAATTTTAAATATTTAACAGTTTTTGTTTGGACTATTAAAAATTAACAGTTAATTCTACGATAAAGTTATGTGGGGTTGGAAAAATTAGCCTTAAAAAATAAGTTTTAACATTTAATTCAGCAGATTTGGTTATGTTAAGGGTCGAAATCAAAACTTAAAAACTTTACTAACCATTAAAATTATATTTTCCTAGGACGACGAAGATGGAAATGCACTTTTTCCGCGTCCTGATGGACTACCATTAAGTGGCTCAGACTCCATAGATTTGAATCTATTAGTAAGAAATTTTAAAATATTTGCACATGGAAACTATCATTTTTTATGGGATAAGTCGGTAAACGAGCATATGAATCACCTGATTGTAAGCAATCGGCGTCACCCGTGGACACGCGGAACACCAGAGGCGTTACAAGTACGTTACCAGCCTTTTGGGATTAGGAATTTGAGGATTGTTGGGGATTCAGGGATTAGGGAAAGGGAGGTGGTGGGGTAATTGGGCCTCCGGTAACCTCACTTACACGACAAAACACCACACAAGCGTTGTTTCACGTCAGTTTTCTGTGAGGCCGTGGTATCACTCCGGTTGAGCCGGCCTATTCGTGCCAAAGCATGGCTCCCCACACTTAAAATTTCTCCTCCTTACATCTTCTGATTAGCTAGTCCCGTGGGGTCACCCGATTCTTGGCTTTTTTTAATTTTAGCAAGATGTTTTATATTTTAAATCTTTTCTCAATAAAGGGACTGCCCAACATAAAAAGATTTATTCAATTGGAACTAGTAGTTCCGGAGATATACAGGGTGAAACAACCGAAGAAACAGATAGACTATTCAGCTTAAAACTATAACTATTAAACTATCTCTCTGGCCTTTTCTTTCATGTCTGGGGATCGTGGTCAACATCTTTTTTTTTTAAACGTTGCCCCACACTAGGATTATCTCCTGTGTCGTGGGTGCGTTTACAACATACAAGTTCACATACACATGACAGCCAGACTCGAAACAACAATTTGTGGATCACACAAAGTGTTGTTCCGTGCGGGAATCGAACCCGCGACACGTTGCACGGCAGCCGGTTGCCCGGCCACCGCACCAACCGTGCAGTCAAGCATCTGGATTGCATGTGGAGCGGATGATCTGATTTCAGCGATTTCCGTCTCTTACAGCCGTGCAAAATTTTGAGGACTAGTCTTTTACTTGATCGGTCCATCTCGTTGGAGATCGCCCATGCGATCTCTTGCCTTCGGTGTTACCTTCAGCTTCTTCACGTTCTCGCCGTTATTGTATTAAATGTGTTTTAGTGTAATTTAACGATGATTCATGATTCTCAGAAGATATTGGATTTTAACGATATATGGATGTGTGTTTTTATAGGAGAAGAGATTAACGGATACAAATAAGGTATATTAAACAGTTTATTTTTTTAATTCTATTTGTTTTTTTTTATGTTGAGACAAATGAAAGGAAAAAAGAAATGAAATGAAAATAGTTTTATTCGGCATACGGCATGAATGCAAGGAACAAAAAATAACAATACAATACAATTTGATAAAATAACAATATTAAAGTTTAACACAAGAGAGTGAGAATAAAAGATAAAAGCTAAATTATAAAACTAGAAGATAATAAAAATAGGTATGACATAGGTTCTGCGCGATATTGGCAGACCTGCCCAAGCCGAATGGGTCGCCAACTCAGCTGAAAGCTGGGCACAGTGAGCACAGTGATTATATATATATATATATGGAATTTTGTAATGCCATCTGAAGGGGAAGTACTCTTAATACTTTAGAAAGAAAATTTTACTCAAAGAAAACATTCCTTTATTTTTGAAAAGAAAGAAAACGGCGTTCGAATATTTTTAAAAATTCCCTTGCTGCACACGGTAATGGAACCGACTAAAATCTGTTAAAGTTGCACCCTGTACTCTTATTGCATCGATCATCAGGGTCAATAATGATTTTTTGTGGGGATATGTAAAAAATTACATTAAATCTTATGAGAATGTAAACGAGTTGAGCGTTGAAGTTCACTACGAGATAATATATATATATTGTTTTATCTATTTTTTTTGTTATTTATCTATTATTATTCTTAGTTATCTATTATAATAAAATAGATACAGAAAGAAAGAAGAAACATTAAGTACTTTATAAAAGACATAGGTAACACCTTGTGGTTTTATTACAGTGGGATGAGTTCAGGAATTTGGTAGCTAAAGAACAGGTGAGTGTTATGATGTAAGGCATCGCATACCTAAACAATAAGCAATAATGGTCTAAATATGGCCATCTCTTAACAAAAAGTTAGTTACCATGTGCAGCATCTAGACTAATCCCTTCCTTGTACTGTCAACTTGACTTACAGAAAGTGTCACCTTGACTCTTTCTGTAAGTGTCATGTCAGTGCTGGTGATAATTAACATGACGTTAATTATTGTCACATACATGTCTTAGTTTAGGGGTTGCTTAATATTTGGGAGAGGTTTGTGAAAATGGGTATAACTCTTTTACTAAAGGTCAACGAGTACTTAGTATTCATCCATTGCTTCCATGTCCGATTTTTTTTATGGCATAAGCCGGTGACCGAGCTGACGGATCACCTGATGGTAAGCAAACGGCGTCGCCCATGGACACCTGGAACACCAGAGGCGTTACAAGTGCGTTGCCGGCCTTTTGGGGATTAGGAGTTTGAGGATCGTTGAGGATTCAGGAATTGGGGAGATTGGGGAAGGGGAGGGTAATTGGGCCTCCGGTAACCTCACTCACACGACGAAACACAACGCAAGCGTTGCTTCATGTCGGTTTTCTGTGAGGCCGTAGTATCACTCCGGTCGAGCCGGCCCATTCGTACCGAAGCATGGCTCTCCGACACTTACATAAATGAATGGGAAAATCCTACTAATATTATAAATACGAAAGTTGGTGTGTTTGTTTGTTTTGGTTCACGTCAAAACGGATGAAGAGATCAGGGTGGAATTTGGAAGAGAATAAGATTATGGTTTGTAATAACATAGAGGTGTAGGCAACTATTCGGGTCCGCTCAAACTGTTGTGGTTCTTTCCTCAAAAGGCCACTACAGAAAGAACTTGCACGGTTCTCACACATAATCTATTATACATATTGTCTGGACTTTAAAAGAGACAGACCTCTGAGTTTGTTTCGGCATTTCTTCTCAGAGTAGTCAGTTAGGAAATGTCGACCTCATCGTTCGCTTGATAAAATTGACGTGTAAAAGTGCTGCCTTGTAGCCTATTTGCAGAAATAAATTCACTTGTTTCACTTGTTTCACTTGTTTCACTATTCATCACACGGGAACACGAGCGATACTGGGGGCAGAAGCCAGAGACTGATATTGTTTTTCTCTTCTCTTAAAAAAACTAAAACATGTTCTGTATACCAAAACACGTTTTAGTTTATAGCTAACTCTAGTTATCAATGATGAAAATAGTGTAAAACCTTGCCTCGTATATTACTATTTAATGGCTAGTATATATTCCAATACTTTTGTTACAGCAAAAGCTAAAACAAGGTGAAACTATGGAAAACGTACGTAGTTATTATCTACTAATTATTTTGAAAACCAACGGAAATAGGTAGTTTGTTATGTAGTGTCTAACACAAGATCTCCACTTCAATTCCTGGATTGTTCTAGAAGTATCACCTGTTTTCTGTCTAAAAATATTACTAATGCATGCTACGTTTTAACTGTGCATTTTAAATGTACATACAGTCGAACTGTACAGTAAAATTGTAAAATGTGTAGAGCAAACAATAGGGTAGATGAATTTTTATTTTAATGTCCGTCTGGTAGATTATTTAAAAACATTCCACACGTATTTTTTATATTTTTACAGAAACAAATACTTTCGACGATTAAGTGATTCAAATTCCAATCACTTTAATGCATCTATAGTGTGTACAGGGTGGTTTACAATTTTTGACGAAATATGTTCCAACTATAGGCCCATTTGGGCACCGCAAAAGTACCTACTTACTCACTTACAAAATAATAGAAATCAAGAATATTATTTAATTAATACAATAATTTAATTAATTTAAATCTTATATGTATAACTATTTTTTAGAATTTAACTAAAACAACGTGTCTAATATTTTTTCATTACCTATCTGACGGACTAATTAGATTTTTAATTTTCATACCCTGTCATCATACCTATTGACCTGTATAGTTTTAACTGAAGGTGTAGGCTGTAAGGACCTACGATTTAATTATACAGTTCGACTGTATAGTTGAAACGCCACGCCATAACGGTGTTTTTCTGAGCCTAGAAGAGTATAAAAAATTGGTCCAGTGTTTTTATGAGATAGGACTGTAAACGACCATATGGTAGACCAGGAACACCAGAGGAGTTAAAAGCTGCTTTTTCGGTCTATTGACCAGGACAGAACCACAGACTGGAAGACGTATCGTGGGGCGAGTACTTCTTCTACTTATCTTTTTGTTTTAAGAATAGTAATTTAATTTAATTTTTCTATTTGTTGTATAGTGGGAAGCGGACGCTCATATGTGGGCTGTAAGTATTAATTATACGTGTATTTTGATGCACCAGATAGTTCATACAAAGTTACAATCTTAATACAAACTCGACTAGTTATATATTGTGAAACAGACTTTAATACCGCACTGTTCACACATTCGCGAAGTAAATCATTTTAAAATATTGTATGTATGTAAGTAATTTTATAATCTGCGCTTTACTCCAGTTCATTTTTTTCGTTGTTGGGTCGACACGTCCTGTTCGGTCAAGGGCTAGCTGTCAACTGAAGGCAGGCGAATGTGTTAACAGAGAGTTCGAATATGAACGGTAAACACGAATGTTTACCGTTCATATCGACAACAACATAGTAGGATAATAAAATGAATAGATTATTCATGTATAGATAAAACTACTCCAATCTGTAAAATTTGTTCATTGGATTTTCGATTTTATGTCAATACAATAAAGTTAAATATGTTATAGAGTAATTCGACAAAAAAAGGATAGGTTTAACTGCTGGCCACCGTGCCATAGTAAGGGATGTAAGTGTGTTTTTATATTTTCAGTCATATTCCAGACAATTAGTGGAAAGAGACAAAATTGCGGTAAATATAATATAATAAAGATTATAAATGAACATAATGTTTTGCTCTCTCGCTTTTTATAGGATAAGCCGGTAAACGAGCAGACGAATCACTTGATAGTAAGCACTCGGCGCCGCCCGTGGACACCTGGAACACCAGAGGCGTTACAAGTGCGTTACCAGCCTTTTGAGAATTGGGAATTTGAGGATTATGGGAGATTCGGGGATTGCGGAGACTGGGGAAACATGGGTCTCCGGTAACCTTACTTACAGGACGAAATACAACGCAAGCGTTGTTACACGTCGGTTTACAGTGAGGCCGTGGTATCACTCCGGTCGAGCCTTCCTATTCGTGCTGAAGCATGGCTCTCCCACACTGTATAAATATAATTATATTTTTTAATTTATTGACTAGCTGACTCGGCAAACATCGTAAGGCCTAAAAACTTTTTCTCACGAAGATTTCTAGACCAAAATTAGCCAAATTGGTTCAGTCATTCTCGAGTTTTAGCGAGACTAACGAACGGAAATATTTTGATAGATATTGATGATAAGATGCACTGTAGAATAAACCTCCTTGAACAAAATTAATTAATTATCTATCTCCCGTTACATATTTCAGAAAAGACGAGCTCAAGAAGTAAGTACAGTGTGAAACGTTTTCACCAACCACTCCTAAATTATAAGGAACCCTTAAGCTAAGATAGGTTTTTTAACGACATTTTAATTTTTATCGCCCCATAAGTGACACCTCAAAATACAAGTAAAGGCTTAGTTTAGGTGCTACATCACGCTAAGTAACGTTTAGTTAAGAGATTGGTGGAAGTGGTCACTAAATCCACAGAACATAAAAAGTATATGTTCTGTAATTAAATCCATTAATCTTTTATTTTCATTGCAATACGAATTGCTAAAGAATACCCAGAAGAGAGAATGGAAAGGAGAGAGAGGATAAGAGATTCTACATAACGTACGGTACAAGTAAATGTCGTGGTGGCCCGGAGGTTTAAGACGCCCACTTCTCATGCATGAGGGTGCGGGTTCGAAACCTACCAACGGCAAGTACCAATGTGACTTTTTCCGAGTTATATGTACTTTTTAAGATTATTTAAACACCACTGACAAACGGTGAAGGAAAAACATCGTGAGGAAACCTGGACTTATAATTTCTAATTATAAGTTTGAAATCGCCAACCCGCATTGAGCAAGCGTGGTGATTAATGCTCTAACCTTCTCTGTGTGAGAAGAGGCTTTGCTCAGCAGTGGGCATTTATAGGCTGTTGATGATGTACGGTATAAACACTGCATCACGAAAAAGATTAAAAAAAGAACAGCAACTAATTATCACACAAAATTGTCCATCTTTCTTAAAGTTAAACCATTCAATCCCCTAGCAATCACTGACTGCATTATAGACCTTATTTCCGATGTTCAGAGACTGCTTTTGTTGAGAATTTTCGGTACGATATATCAAGGTATTAACTTCCTGGATGACTGAGCTTTGCTCGGTGTTTTTTTAGTAAACGTTACCTGAAATGAAACCTAGATAGAATATATAATAAATTTCAAGAAGATTGTTGGAGCTGTTTCCTATATCGTTGTTTGCAACAATTGCTCGTTTAAAGGTATTAGATATTATAAAATTTATTGCTGGGTAGGTTCTGTTGGTGGTAAGCTGTTACAAAATAATATTCACAGTTAACTATAGATTATTCATAAAAACGAAACGTTCAACTTTGTATTGTGTCGTAATAGAATTAAGATCGATAATCTTGTGAAATCATTTTGACCTTAAAGTCGGACAGAAACAAGCATTCTCATTTATAATATTGGAATAAATTTCCAGGAGGAACGTAAAGACGCGGTAAGTATTATCAAAAATTTGTGGTAGGTAACTCTTAACGCTGATACGTAGGTGTTCCACAGGGGTTTTACTTGGGTCCATTCTTTTTTATACATAAACGATTGGCTTTCTAAGTTTAACTATAATTTCCTCTTATACACCGAGACTTTTTAAGTGTAAGTAGAAACAAGAAGCGTTGCATCTGACAACAATGCTGCATACAAATTTTCAATTGCAGCCTGCAGCGTGACATTTTGTTTATTTTATCTAGACTTAGCACAAATAAACACAAAAGTGTACAGTAACACATAGTGTTTAGTTGTTTTACATAGTACATTTAATAGTTACGTGGATGCATTCTCTAATATTGGTTTGTAATTCCAGGAACGGAAAGCTGCAGTAAGTTTTGAAACAGATCATAATAGTTAATCTGATACCGCATCACTTATAGTTGTAAACTATTAGACATTTTAACAGTTGTGATCATCATCAACGCGGCTGTCTATTGCTAGACTAAGACTATGGCCTTCCTCTATATAAGAGTGATTTCTTATATTAAATCTCATATCATATTAAAATATAGATTGACTTAGTACAGACACAGCAGCTATTATACTTGTTAGGGAATTTTTTGGCGCTGTAAATGATGATGCTGATTTCAATATTAAAAGTCTAGTTTATTCAACAATAAATGCGTGGCGGGATGAGCTCCGGCGCGATCTCATGGCGGAATGGCAGCAACGACTGTCGCAACCGAGGGCTGGGCTCGCTGCCATTGCAGCGGTAAGTCCCCTCTTTGAGGAGTGGCTTGAGAGACGCTACGGCGTCCTCACCTACCGCCTGACGCAGGTCCTCACCGGACATGGAAGTTTCGGGAGGTACCTGTGTCTGATGGGGCGGGAGGAAACGCCCGGGTGTCATCACTGCGAGGACCACCCTGAGGACACGGTGGAACACACCGTAGCGGAATGCCCTGCGTGTTTGTGACCAGAACTGTTTCTCGCTCGGGTCTGTACCCGAGCGTACGGCGCGTCGCGTTCCGCGCGCGCCTCAAAGAGCCATCAGACCACCACAGATGGGGCCCAATAGGGCCGATGCCGATTCGGAGTCGCGGAGAACCTAACGGGTAACCGGGGCTCCGGCTCGACGTGCAGGAGAAGGAACGGGGTGGTTTTTAGTCAGTAAGTCTGACACTCTCTTCCGCCTCACCCAGGCGGGAGCAGTCATTCGATGATTTTCCCCGGTTAAAAAAAAAAAAAGTTTATTCAACAATAGGTACTTACCTATGTTTGACATACCTACTTATGTGCTTAATAAAAAATATACAGACATGCGATGCGTACAGAGCTTACAGGTGATCGGGTTAATAGTGCGGGTCTTGATTCTCGTACATGGTTGCTCCCCGCTCTCGCTGTCCCCCCTCTGATGCCATCGTCAGTGTCGCCTCCATCGACATCATCGTTATGTTCGAGAAATTTCCGAGCAATACTAAATTGTGTAGTTTTTAACCTAGCCACATCTTCAGTTAGTTATTGGTCGGTTCAATAGCATGTCCAACTAATGGTTACTGTCTCTGTACTGAATAGATCTTTACCTGTATAGTAAATGGCTGCGTTGACTATGCGTACATCAGTTTCAAAAACGAATGTACGATATTTTAAGTTAATTGTAAATTGTGGTACAAGTTCAAATTATTTTTCTTTTTGTTTACAGAGACAAAATCAACACGAATATTTGAATCCTAGCGCTGGTGTTAGTATTTTGTAAATAATGAAACATTTTTCTTTGATTGCCTAAAACACCAGTAGAGTGGTTGCCACTGCTGACCTACAGTGCCTTTAGGCAAACGCCACTCTAGCGCTTGTCTACAGAGAGAATAGAAAACTAAATGTATGGGAATGACACTGACAAATGTCAAAATTTACGTCAATTCCATATAATTTGGTTTTCTATTCTACAAATAGACAAGCGCTAAATGGCATTTGGCTACAGCTGCTGGCTCGATTAGATGGCAGGAAATATACTAGGTTATTGGTTGTAACAGTTTAAAATATCACCCATCCAACAGAAACAAGTATCTGTATTTTTAAAATCAGGTTTATATGATTTAGGCATACAAAATTTTAATGAAATCTTGGGGTAAAGTATAATACAATATAATATAATATTTAAATTTTATAATAGCTTTGTGTTTGTCATTTTCAGATGGAACAATATTGGACATCAAACGACAATGATAAGGTACATACGTTTCAGAAAATACGTACTATACCTCTACAATGCATTTTAATGAAACAGTTGAAGACACTGCAACCAATCCATTTTTAAAGAAACAAAACAAATTCAATACTTTTATCGAAATGTCAAACACATCTTTTCTAACATTTTGTATGAGATATAGAGTTATGACGTCATCATACTTTTGCGTCAAATAGCACACTTATGTCTCACGAAAGTTACAATACAAATATAACATACTTATTTTTGAAAGATTGGTTCTGTTGCTAGATCGCTTATTGTAACATCCCAATTTTGTAATAGAAATAAGGATAGAATGAGAGTTAATGTAATATTTTGTCACTTGCAATGAATGAAATTTTTTAATTTTTTTCATTACGCAGAAATCATCGGATCCAAGATACGAAATGGATGCAGTAAACAAAAAGATGTTGGAGACACTCTCTCGATTGCCTCACTCACAATCTGACTCTGAAGGTCAAGGAATAACCGGTTTAGATACAGCTCTTTCGGGTACTGATAAAGGTAGAGGCCCAGAAGCAATCCCTGGGCGCGCAGGAGGATATTCTGGTTACGATGGTAATGGTAGGGGCCCAGGAGCGTACTCTAGTGGCCCGGAAGAATATCTTAAGGGGCGAGAAACATATCCTGGGGGTGCAGGAGGATTTCCTGGGAGCCCAGGAGGATTTCCTGGGAGCACAGGAGGATTTCCTGGGAATTCAGGATTTCCCGGGAGTGCAGCAGGATACCCTGGGGGCGCTGGAGAATATCCTGGGGGCGCAGGAGGATATCCTGGGGGCGCAGGGGGATATCCTGGGGCGCAGGAGGATATCCTGGGGGTACAGGAGGATATCCTGGGGGCGCAGGAGGGTACCCTGGGGGACCAGGAGGACATCCTGGGGGCGCAGGAGGATATCCTGGGGTTGCAGGAGGTAATCCGGGGGGCGCAGGGGGATATCCTGGTGGCGCAGAAGGATATCCTGGGGGCGCCGCAGGAGGATATCCTGGGGGCGCAGGAGGGTACCCTGGGGGACCAGGAGGATATCCTGGGGGCGCAGGAGGATATCCTGAAGGCGCAGAACAATTTCCTGGAGGCTCTGAAAGATATTCTGGTGATCCTAGAGGATTTCTTGGGGGCCCGGGGGATTTCCTCAGGGTCCGGGAAGATTTCCTGGTGGCGCAGCAGGTTTTCCTGGGGGCGCAGGAGTATATCCTGGGGGCGCAGCAGGAGCAGCAATTCCAGGGGCCCCAGAAGGAATTCCTGGGGGCGCTGGAGGATTTCCTAGGGATCCGGGAGGGTTTCCTGGGGACCCGGGAGGATTTCCTGGGGACCCGGGAGGATTTCCCGAAGGTCCGGGCACATATCCTAAAGGCTCAGGATCGATTCTTAGAAGCCCAGAAGCGTTTTCTGGTGGTCCTGGTGAACGTGGGAACAAATTTAAATTTCCTGCAGAACTATCTTTATCAAAAAATGCCCAACTTTGGCACGCTATGAAACAAGGTATTCATTTACCTATGCCTCCGCCAAAGTTATGGACTCGACGACAATATGATGGAATGCCTCCAATATATTACAAAGATCGACCAAACGAATCACGAGGAGCAATATCGACGGGTCGGGACGACCGTTATCTAACACCTGAACAGAGGTCTCAAGAATCTCCTGATTACGATATGGGGCCAGATACTTCGCAATTGTCTCAAACTTTTGAAAAACCAAGAATTACATTTGACGAAAACGTTAACGAGGATAACGTTCCTTATGGTGATGGCAAAATACCAGGTGTAGGATCTGAGGCTGACTTTCCGAATGGTTATCGACCAAACTACGGTGATAATTCGCAAATTTCTCCTGGGTTTTATCAGATGCCCCAGTCTTACAGTAGCGGATATCCAGAGGCTCAAAAAAATCCATTTATAAAAACTCAACCCAAGACAAGAAGTAATAAAGCCCCGCCACAGATCCCACCCAAGAACAAAGCAGCTGTAGGCTACCCAGATGATTTTAAGCACGCTCTCCGGATGGGTGGACCTCGTTTTCAACCTGGGCCAGGTTCAGAATCAGATTTCTCTGAAGGGTCTGGTCCAGATAATTTTAAGCACGCTCTCCGGATGGGTGGACCGCATTCCCAACCTGGGCTTGGTTCTGAATCAAATTTCCCTGAGGGGTCTGGTCCAGATAATTTTAAACACGCGCTCCGGATGGGTGGACCACGATTCCAACCTGGCCCAGGTTCTGAATTAAATGTTCCTGAGGGGTCTGGTCCAGATAATTATAAGCACGCTCATCGGATGGGTGGACCACGTTTTCAACCTGGCCCAGGTTCTGAATCAGATTTCTCAGAAGGATTCCATCCTAAAATAGCTGGTGGAAACATGGAAAGGGGAGTTCCGTCAGGTAATGGACTTCATAGACCGCCGAGACTAAATAATCAGTTCCAAGGTATGGGGCAAAGAGGACCACCTCCTGGATGGCATAGTGAGGGCAAAGCGGGCTGGAAACCTGATAAATCTTGGGGATCATCACGTTTTAGTCCACCAGGAGAGCCAGACTATCAGCCACTACCGGAATCGGAACGATTACAACCAAATTTCCCTCGTGAATTTCCTGTAAAGGGGAAGGACGGGCCGGCAGCACTTCGTGATGGTGCTGATGACACTGCTATTACCTTTCAAGGCCAAAACTCACCTGGTGGTGATGCAGACCTAGGTCAGGCCGGATTTAAACCGCGTCAACCAAATCTAGTAAGTAATTCATTTATAATATTACAATAGGGTAGATGCTTAATTTTTATTTTATTGTCCGTCTTGTAGATTATTTTAAAACATTAGACACGTATTTTTTATTTTCTTACAGAAACAAATAAATATTTTCAACGATATATTGATTTGAAATGTCGCGTGACGACACTTCTACACTATGTTCAATTTTATACGTAGAAATGACGTTTTAGCCCCCACTCTTAAACTTTGATTCATTTTATCATAAGTATTATTTTATTATACGACAAAATAAAGTGTGAAGTAAAGTGAAGTTGACAGTAAATAAAAAATTAATATATTTCAGCCAACCGGGTATAATTTGTTGCAAATTGCATTAAATAAAACAGCGGTAAGTAGTTACTAATCAATACAGTATATTCTAATTATGCACCCACATAACATACTGTTGAAAATAGTCAGAATGATAATTTATAGATTCCACATCTTGTTACGATCACCAAGATCGGAATTATTATTTCTTAAGAGTATGAAAGAAAGAAAGAAAAACCATTTATTACGCCACGACACACAATAAGAATACAGGTACACACAGACAGCCCATGGTGCGTCGAATATCAAAACCCTGGAGCTCAGTTTAATACTATGGCCCGAGTCTCGGCTCAGTCCGGTCCAGGCTCGAGTCCACGGCGCTGATTTTCAGCACCAGCCCGTAGTAGTACGTACTAATTATACACCTACGGTAACACTGTTCAGGGCACAGTATGATATAAATAATAAAATGAATATAAAAATGAAAACAAATGTGTGTCAAAATCCCCGATACTGTCACATAAGGGGGACCTAAATAACAAACTTCCTAAGATCAGTGACCTAATTGTAATTCCCATCTACCAAGTGTGGGGTTTAGTAAATCCGCTCTTAGGTTGAGACTAGGAAAACAAAAGTAATTTGAATTTAAAGGACTAATACACTTGACCGTAGAAACAGAGCCACTGCCGTTTTTCTTTTCATTTTAAATTCCTAAAAATATTCCTTGCACAACAAAATGATTTCATTTTAAAAGTATACGGTATATGGCAATAGGCTCACCCCCTATTACATGGGACTCGTAACATAAATAGTGAAAAGTGGGTGTTTCATTGTACAGTGGCATTAAGTGCCGTAATGTGCACTTCTGCATACCTCTTCGGAGATAAAAAGGCGTGATGTTATGTTATGTTATGTTTAAAAGTAACCAAATAGCTTTTTATACGACATACGTTACCAATTAATAGAATACTTGTATCGAAAGATTTATAAAGAAAAGAAAAATAATAATAGCTAGTGGCTACATTTCATTGTTCCAAGTGTAAGTGAAGTATTGTTGGTTTTAATTGTGATATCATTATATCTTTAGGATGAAGACCAAATGATTAGAGCTGCTCCGACGACTGAACCCGTAAGATTATTATTTAATTTGAAACTAAAGGACTTCCCACATTTAAAAAGCACGGATCCAACCCAACCAATAAATTGTCATTTAAATATGAACTTTAAATCGTATGTCGTATGATACATTTCGTAACGACAATACTAAAGCTGACGGCTGGTGGTCAGCGCGCGTTCCACTCGAGGTGTAGTCGGGGCGCACGCGTGCTTATGGCTCGCGAGCGAAACAACGTCGCATTGTAGGTAGGTATTGTAATGCTACATTTACACTCTCGCGCGAGATGACACGAGGTTGAAGTACATTGCAATCTTATAATGCGAGAAAGACTACAAATATTTTTGAATAACGACAATGTATATCGGCCTCGTTTCGACTCGCGCGAGAGTGTAGATGTAGCCTTAAAAGCTTTCACATGGCAGCCGCCGCGCCGGCTACGCGTCGTCCGCTAGTCGGAAGCGCGCCGACGCCGCGCCGGAGACGTGCTATTTAATTGTGGGATGACCTTTATACTTATTCATTCATTTATACACACATACATGTAGACTGACAACACTGCAAGTTACGCGTGTGTTTTATGACGATTACAACTGTTACAACTTTTTGAATCCCTATATCTCCAAAACGGCGACTCGGAGGAAAAAAATACGAAACCTCTACCTTCAAGAAAAGAGCGTATTCCTTTTTAAAAGGCCAGCAACGCACCTGTGACTCCCCTGTTGCGGGTATCCATGTGCGGCGCTGATCGCTTACCATCAGGTGATACGGCTGCTCGTTTGCCTCCTATTTCATAAAAAAGTGAAACAATCAATTTATTTCTGCAAATAGGCTACAAGGCAGCACGTTTACACGTCAATTTTATAAGCGAAAAATGAGTTTGACATTTCCTAACTGAGTACCCTGACTACTCTGAGAAGAAGTGCCGAAACAAACTCAAATGAACACAGTGTGACAAAACTTACCGAAAAAAGGGTCGAAAAAATATTTCTTTGACATTTGCCCAAAAAAACAAGTAAAGAAAGTAGACCAAAGTCCGGCTACATTGCGCTTCTTCACCCATCGTCACTGGCAATACGTGGACATTTATCTCCCAGGATATCCTTGGATCTTACCCCCTGGGCATTAGGTATATGGGTCCCATAACTTGTTTACTGACATATGAGTGTTACATATAATGCTTGCTTTCCAATTTCCTTTCGAGAAACCAAAGTCTGGTGACAAAGATAAGTATTGTTATTTTAAATAATTAATATTATATTTACCCCACAGTCAACGACACCAAAACACGTAAGTACCAATTTAAACTTTATTACAATGTATTAAAGCTGAAATGACAAATGACTTAGATATTTCTCCGGTGACCGCTCTCCACTCACTGCATTATAGACCTTATTTCCGATGTTTAGAGTCTAGAGACTACTTTTGTATAAACAAGTATTGGAGATTTTCGGTACGATATCTCAAGTCGTCATCAACAGCCTATAAATGGCCACTGCTGACCAAAGACCTTTTCTCGTATGGAGAAGGTTTGAGCATTAATCATCACGCCTGAACTTAGTTATAATTAGAAATTATAAGCCCAGGTTTCCTCATAATGTTTTCCTTCACCGTTTGTCAGTGGTATCTAGATAATCTTAGAAAGTACATATAACTCGGAAAAAGTCACATTGGTACTTGCCGTTGGTAGATTTCGAATCGCACCCTCGTGCATGAGAAGTGGGCATCTTAAACTTCCAGACCACCACCACGACAACTCAAGTGATTCAATTTAAATAACAAATATAATAAAATACTGAAGCAGTCGAATTTCATAACTGATAGTAGGAAGTCATTATTATAATGTTGAATGTGATAGAAAGAGATGGAAACATGTGTGAGAACAAGTTGACAGGTGGTCATCATCAGTACAAACAGACAGTATTTACAAGTCTTTACTTACTATGATTCCAGCCACCAACCAAAGAGGAGCGGATTCAACAGTTACAACAACATGTAAGTAAGAAAGAAGATGTTGTTTGTTCGTTTGTTTGTTTCTTTGTTTGCTACTTGTTCATGTCAAAACGGCTAAAGGGATCAAGGTTGCGGTCCATGATGCGGAGCGAGGGGGACTGGGATGCCATCTCCTCCTTTTGCGAAGCAGTCATGCTAGCTAAGGAGGAGGCGAGACGCGTGAGGCAGCGAAGCTTTGCCTCCTCACAACCCAGCCGTCGCGAAGGACACTCCGGGCGTCGGGGATCGCGAGACGATCTCCGGCCACCGTAAGCGCGGGCCTGCGGACGGCGAGCATGGGTGGCTCGCCGCTGGCCCGAGCGTACGGCGCGTGATGTTTCAAAGAGCCATCAGACCACCACGGATGGGGCCCAATAGGGCTGATGCCGATACGGAGTCGTAGAGAACCTAACGGGTTACCGGGGCTCCGGCTCGAAGTCCGGAACGGGGTGGTTTTTAGTCAGTAAGAGTAACTGCTTTTCTTGTCCCTATTACATGGGACACATAACATACATTTTGAAAAGTGGGTGTCACATTGTATAGTAGCATGAAGTCCCGTAATGTGCACCTCTGCCTACCCCTTCGGGGGTCAACGGCGTGTTGTTATGCTATCTTAGTTTTTTTTAGGTGTACAGTTAACTTATATATATGTTGAATAGTGTACGTCTTAGCTGGTACCATTTCACGGCAGATATGGGACATGAACATGTATCCATCAGTACTACTATTAATAACATGTCACTCTATTAATAGACTGCCTCGTTGGCCGAGTGGTCGCAAGTGCGACTGCCGGACTAGGGGTCTCGGGTCGGACGAAATATTACTGGGTTTTTAAAAACAATCTCAGTAGTAGTATGGAGTCTGGAATTGTGCCCAGTATATGGCAATAGGCCTATTACATGGGACGCATGACATAAATAGTGAAAAGTAGATGTTTTTGCACAGTGGCAATAAGTGACGTAATGTGCACCTCTGCCTAACCCCTTCGGGTATTAAAGGCGTCATGTTATGTTATGATATGGCACTTGTTATATAAATATTTTTTTTTCTTTCATTCTTTCTAATGGCTAATATGATGATGATGATGATTTAAATACTGTTTTCAGGATGATTTCGGAGCACCAATACGTTGGGTGCCATTAACTTCGGTAAGTTTAAAACTAAATAAAGTCAGTGTACTGTATCTATCCTGGTTATTTTCATAGTTACTAATAGTTTGTTTGCGTTAAGAATGCAGTGAGTGATCAGTGCAACTGTATATAAAGGTGTATTCATAGTGGTGTGAAATTAAAACAAATATGTTCTAAATGAATAAGTTTAATCAATTTATAATAATACACTTAAAATTCATTAAAAATCGCTGGTTACTCACGTGAATATACTGAGAAAAGCTCTTCTAGTTTCGAACCACAGAGGGGTTCTTCCTCATGAGCAGCGTGCACGGTCGCGGTGATGTCACGCAGATTTTTAGTTAATTTAGTATGTTTCACGATAGTTATTGAGTTGACTGCACGGTTGGTGCGGTGGCTGGGCAATTAGCTGCCGTGCAACTTGTCGCGGGTTCGATTCCCGCACGGAACACTTTGAGTAATACACAAATTGTTGTTTCGGGTCTGGATGTCATTGTGTATGTGAACTTGTATGTTTGTAAACGCACCCACAACATAGGAGAAAATCCTAGTGTAGGGGAATCAGTATAGAGGGCGGGGCTAGGCCGATAGCCAATGATGACTTCCTGCATTCTTATCGCAAATGCACTATAAAACCACGTGTCCTAATAATTTTGATATTAAACAGTAATACGTCGTTTCAGCCAGATACAAGTGATGGACTGGCGAAAGTGACGGTAAAGTTTGACACTATAATTAATAAAATATTTATATTAGAAAACATTTTGCCATGGGGGTCACCGGTGACCGGCGTTAGCGGAGGATTTACCTTTAACAGTTTTTTTTGGCAGTCAAAGTCTTAATATAATAAGTATTAGAAAACATTTATCATGAAATGAAAAATATATGCTCCGCTTCTTGGCTTCAAAGTGTACATAAAACATAGCTGAAATATCCACCTAATGCAGGTTACAAGGAGTCACTGGATGCAAGTCGCTTCCTACCAATTTGGAAGACATTCAAGCAGCCTATTTTTTTTCTTTTTTTATAGTATAAGCCGGTAAACGAACAGACGGATCACCTGATGGTAAGCAATCGGCACCGCCCATGGACACTCGAAGCACCAAGGCGTTACAAATGCGTTACCGGCCTTTTGGGAATTGGGAATTTGAGGATTGTGGAGGATTCAGGGATTCGGGAGACGGGGACTAGGGAAGGGAGCAATTGGGCCTCCGGTAACCTCACTCACACGACGAAACACAACGCAAGCGTTGCTTCACGTCGGTTTTCAGCAGTGGATATTTTTTTCATCCAACGTGAGACGAGAAGTAGACTATTACGAACTGAAAACCACCCCGTTCCTACTCCTGCACTTCGAGCCGGAGCCCAGTTAAGTATTCCATGACTCCATATCGGCATTAGCCTTATTGGGCCCCATCTGTGGTGGTCTGATGGCTCCATGAGGCGCTCGCGTAAAGCGACGCCCCGTACGCTCAGGTATGGATCTTGACATGATGATGATAAGGCAGCTGAATTTCAGATAATCCATTTAGATTTTTTTTAACTTTATTATTATTTATGATATCAATGTATTTTAAATTGATTGCTAACACCAATCTATGTGGTATAAAGGTACTGCTACATACGCTTATTTCAAGTACGAAAGCATGCTTCAATTGGGCAGATGCCACTTAGTAGCAAGGGTATCGGAATGTTGCTCGAAATTAGTATGCTCATTTTAGGCATGTTTGCGAGGCGTTCGATTTTTGATTATTTTTTGAGCATGCCCAAATTACCCTTTAACCTGCTGTTTTAGAGCGTATGTAATATTACCAGGGCCTTTAGCCAAACGCCACTTTAGCGCTTGTCTACAGAGAGAGTAGAAATCAAAATGTACGGGAATGATACTGACAAGTGTCAAAATTTACGTAAATTCCATATATTTTGGTTTTCTATTTTACAAGTAGACTAGCGCTTAATGGCATTGGCTACAGCTGCTGTACAGATTATTTAATTTTAATCTTTACTGAATTTCAGGATAAAGAAACTCATAAGAATCAACAGTTCATTATTGAGGTGGGTATTATTTTACCTTTTCTTTACTAAAATTGGAAATTTCTCAGCGCATCCTTGCTAATTTTATAACACATCGCTTTCCTAACAATAACAAACCCAATATGAAAAGAATTTACGAAATCTATTCAGCTGTTCTTGAGATTTGCGCATAGTAAAACATTCAGCGATTCATCTATCTATAATAAAAAATGAATCACTAAATGTGTTGTTGTTAAAATTTTGATAACAATTGAACTGATTTCGCTGATTATTTCTAGTTTGTTGGGTTTGTTATTATTAGGAGAAGTTTGTAATGTAAGAAAAACCAAAAGATAAAGATAAATTTCCAAGCTAAAATATTTATTTTTTATTTTAAAAGACTTCATGCACATACTAATGTACAAGGTGGGCTTAATGCCTAGGGCATTCTCCTCCAGCCAGACCTTTGAGTGATGCAGAGACAAAAACAATGGTCGATGCAAGAAGCAAGCGTATTTAAGACTCAACAGAAATGCATAAAAAAAGGATAGTATAGACTTACATAAAATAAATCCCTATATAAACTTACATGTATATAACATAACAATAAACTTACATAATTATATTACATATACTACTTAGACGTAACATAACTATACATAGTATATTGATAGTTACGACTCTGCCAACCTCTTCAAAAGTAGCTCCCGCACCTTCCGCTTGAATGACAAACGACTGGGCACCATCCTGATATATTGCTTGCGGGGTACGCTAGTTTCTATACAGTCTGTATAAAATCTTACTGACATAATTTTAACGTATCCATAATGACGAAATGATTGGAATGCGATAAAAATATAACAATACAACAAACAAATAAAATAAATACTAATCAATAAACAAAAGACTGCTTAAAAAAACATATTTTTAAAATGAAATTAATTTGAATTTAGAATTCTTAGTCTTAGCTAATCAAAAAATATTTCGATTTGAAATGGCCAATACTGCAGAACGGCAATTTCATAGATAAAGACCTATTTATGTTTTATTCCTTAATATTTTCAGGGTGTACTTTATGTTCCTGTCGTGGACGAGAATGTGGCTCGATTAGGGTTGACTGTGAGTAGCAAATAGTATAATATTGGTAGTCAATACTGACACCTATCATCATCATCATCATCATCATCTAAAGACTGATATTAATTAAGATAGATTCGTTGACAATTCGTTTTTACGTCTAAAACACATCGACATAAAGGATAGTAGGTAGTTGTTCCGTCTCTCATTGTTTTCTGGGATTGACTGTGTGGTTTTAGTCGGTAAGAGTCCGACATAACCTGCTGTCTGACGCTCATTGTCTAGACAAAGGGTATCCATGAGGATTTCCACACGTTAAAAAAAAAGTAGTTGTTCCGTGCGGGACTCCAACCCACGACACGTCATTGCACTAACCGTGCAGTCTCATAAATCATTTTCATACTACCGCAATATCATATTATTATTAGTAAGATTTAACAAAATTAACTTACGTATAACCACCTTTATAAGGTAGTTCATACAAAAATATGTTCTTAATTTTCTAATCAACCGACTTCAAAAAAAGGAGGAGGTTCTCAATTCGACCGTATATATGTCTTTTTACTGCCTCGTTGGCCGAGTGGTCGCAAGTGCGATTGCCGAGCAAGGTGCCTCGGGTTCGATTCCCGGGTCGGGCAAAGTATAACATGGTTTTCAAAAATCTCAGTAGTAGCACGGAGTCTGGAAATGTGCTCGGTAAATGGCAATAATGAGCTTATATTGGACTCGTAACATAAATAGTGAAAAGTGGGTGTTACATTGATTGTACAGTGGCATTATAAGTGCCAAAATGTGCACCTCGGCCTACCCCTTCGGGGATAATAAGGCGTGATGTTATGTTATGTTATATGTTTTTTTAATCTGGTACCCATCAATCAGCCCTTAATCTAACAACAATTGCCCACACATCAAAAATCTATAGTTTCCTAAATTGTCAATAACAAAATTAACTTATAACCTAAACAACAAAACACAAATTCCAACAGACAGAGGACTACCAAGAAACGACAACGCAGCTTCCTACCCTGACTCCTAAGAATGATTCATCCATCAAGACCATCTTAAGATCTATGAACCTAAACAAGAGCTCTGAACTAGAATGGCTGGCTATGGAAACTGTTCTAGGACCAAAGCAAATTTATCCGGCACAGGTAAGATAATATCTGTCTCATGAGAAGCCGTAGGATCTCACCATCATTAGCACTTCTAGTGCTAAATTTTGACGTTGTATTGTCATTACATCGTTCTCTCATAGGTATATATACAATCGGGGCTCCGGCTCGACGTGCAGGAGAAGGAACGGGGTGGTTTTTAGTCAGTAAGAGTCTGACACTCCCTTCCGCCTCACCAAGGCGGGAGTAGTCATTCGATTAATTTCTCCCCTTAAAAAAAAGGTATATATACAATAGGTAAAGAATCAGGTAATGTATCAACGAGACTGTAAAAACTTTTTTTTTAAATTGTAACGATAGAGTTTCTTTCTCGATCTTCTCCATTCGAAAGTACACTTTGGAACGAGCGCCTTGCTTCACTGATAGATAGACGAACGAAGAATTCAATTTTTGACGTTCCAAAAGTACCTAATTAAGGATTAATTGAAATAAATACTTTGAATTTTGACTTTGTGTCCATGGACACTTATATCGATTATCGCTCGTCATTGGTCGAGATTGTTCTCACATCCAATGACATGGCGGATCGCGATCGAGTTCACTTCAAATTTAAAGTTACAAAATAGCATAGCTGTTGAGCAAAGGCGATTAAAAACCTAACAAGCACGGCTCCAACCCAGCAATTAACTTGTCATTTAAATATGAACTTTAAATCGTATGTCGTATGATATATATATATATATTTTTATGGTATAAGCCGGTAAACGAGCAGACGGATCACCTGGTGGATGGTTAGCAATAGGCGTCGCCCATGGACACCTGGAACACCACAGGCGTTACAAGTACGTTACCGGCTTTTTGGGAATTAGGAGTTTGAGGATCGTTGGGGATTCAGGGATTGGGGAGATTGGGGAGGGGGCGGGGTAATTGGGCCTCCGGTAACCTCACTCACACGACGAAACACAACGCGAGCGTTACTTCACGTCGGTTTATTGTGAGGTCGTGGTATCACTCCGGTCAAGCCGGCCCATTCGTGCCGAAGCATGGCTCTCCCACACTTGACATTAACAAGGGTTGGCAATTTCAAACTTATAATTAGAAATTTTATTTTAAGTTCTTTAAAATCGTAACGCATAGCGTCTGTTTAATATTTCTTTCACGATATGATATGGCGCTTATGTCTTGAGATAGCCCGCCGCTGGGTGAAGGTATGTAGGTGGAGAAGCAATATTGCATTAAAATAATCTCTATTCGGTTTTTTTTTTCAGTGTGAAGCTGAGTCCTGCCAGGCCAGGGTAAGCTTGTAAAAAGTTACTAACGAACTCCCTCTTAATACGCCTTAGCGAGAAATATTTGAAAATAAGTAACATGGGGATATTTTTCAGTAGTACTATGGACATGACATAATATCACGTCTTTTATCCCCGAAGGGGTAGGCAGAGGTGCACACAGAAGTAACACCCACTTTTCACTACTTATGTTATGAGTCCCATGTAATAGGGGGTGAGCCTATTGCATATGGCAATACGTTACGTTGTTACGTTGTACGGGGGCAGTAAGTGCCGTAATGTGCACCTCTGCCTATCCTTTAGGAGATAAAAGGCGTAATGTTATGTTATGTTACATTTAAAGTGTACACCTACACGGACTCTCTAATACTCTTTCAAGTAATAGAAGTTATGATGTTATGTTTTATTTTATGCCCTTACATTATAACTTTCGTGAGACATACTAAATTAATTATTCGGCCTACTCATGTAGCTGTTTGACAAGGAACTCGGTTAGTTTCAAGCCATGCTAGAGGCTCATATTCACGAGCAGCATTCCACGATCTGCGACGCGGCGACTGTCGCGCTGTTACTGAGTCAGTCAGTCAATTATTCGTATGATGAATAATATTAATTAATTATTATGTAATTTTTCTATATTAATCAATTTCAGTGCCATAAGCCCAAGTGTGATTCTAAGGTAAGATTAATTTTCAAAAATTTAGGTAATAACAAGCAATATCCCTATAGCAAGTGAAAAGCAATAGTCATATGTAACACATGTATTCATATTACCATGGGAACCATAACATAACTGTTTATCCACCGATGCTTCGAAGGAGAAAAATTATTGTTTAAACTGTCAAACACCAAGCGGTCACCGGTGACCGCGACCTATTGTTCTTTAATTGTGTCTATAAAACCGGTACTCGACGAGTTAATTATACGTTAATCTTAGTTTAATTTTAATCACTATTAAACTGTCAAACATTGCGAGGACCGCAACCTATTGTTCTTCAATTGTGTCTATAATGACGGTACTCAAAGGGTTAAAACAAAGGCCTGTGTTCAATTTTTTTAATATTATAATTATGATAATATTAAAGACTATATTATTATTTATATCCTATTCAGTGCCGCGGAGAAATGTGTGCATCTGGGGTAATGTAATTGTTTTAAATTTAATTGTACTTAAAACTAATTAAATAAATTTAAATGTCGTCGTGGCCCGGAGGTTTAAGACGCCCGCTTCTCGTGCGGGTTGAAATGAGGGTTCGAAACCTACCAACGGCAAGTACCAATATGACTTTTTCCGAGTTATATGTACTTTAAAAAACTATCGAGACACCTCTGAAAAACGGTGAAGGAAAACATCGTGAGGAAACCAGCCAAATTGTTGTACATGTTTACTTTTCTATTCATAAGGTAAATTGATGCAGTCCTATTAAGACATTTATGTGTGTAAAATACGTCCAAGAGATTCGTTTATTTTACGCATACATTTTTCAACTTGTAAAATATCTTCACATTATTAAATTAAATCCTTTGTCTTTGACCTTCCACACATTATTCAGATTGAAAAATGTATTAAATTCTAACATCCTTTTGTATTTATTCTCAGTGTGTGGGAGTCGGTTGCAATGCCAATGTAAGTTACATTTTATATTAAAACTATTAGACATTCGATATTTGTTTTGTTTCTCTATTTTATAGAAACGCATTTGTAGTTTATTTAAGTGTGGGAGAGCCATGCTTCGGCACGAATGGGCCGGCTACACTGGAGTGATACCACGGCCTCACAGAAAACCATCGTGAAACAACACTTGCGTTGTGTTTCGTCATGTGAGTGAGGTTACCCGCGGCCCAATTACCCCTCTCCCTTCCCCAATCCCTAAATCCCCAACAATCCTAATTTCTAATCCCCAAAAGGCCGATAACGCACTTGTAACACCTTTGGTGTTCCTGGTGTCCATGGGCGACGCCGATCGCTTACCATCATGTGATCCGTCAGCTCGTTTACTGGTTCATCATAAAAAAGTCTCAGTGTGAGCGTGGGTTTGATTCGATTATTGGACTAATGCCCGCTTTCACAGACCTCTCCTAAATTTCAACGAATCCCTAAGTTAATCTAAGTGACATTTAAAGATATTTTGCCTGTAGGTGACACCTAACAGTATAAGTAAGAACTTAGTTTAGTTGCTACGTCACGTTAAGTAATTTTTAGTTAAGAGATCGTTTAAGAGTGTTTAGGGAAAAGCACTATTAGTCTCCCTCATTGAAGTTAATGAATAATTTTTTGTATGATGTTTATTTTCTTTAGTGCAACGGACCTGCATGTTTCTCAATGGTATGTTAAAATAAAATGATTACATCTCATAAAAATCTTCATGATAAAAAGAGTTAAAATATGTATTTCCAAATATACTGAGTGATCCACAAATTGTTGTTTCGGGTGTAGGTGTCATGTGTATGTGAATTCATATGTTGGTAAACGCACCACGATACAAAAAATGGTGTCAATTGCTACGCCGTAGCATTCGTAGCACTGCTACGTAGTTACTACGAACGGCGTAGCAACTAAATGGTTTTTAAGAATTGAGTTCGAAAATTAATTTGTTCGTACAGTGCAAGCAATATCGTGCAGTAACTGTCTAAATGTTTTTGAAATTTGAACCCAAGTTGTATAAAATTAAAGTTTACTTTCAATTCCCAGTGCATTGGCGAGAAATGTACTGCAAAGGTAAATGTTTCATTTTCAATTTATGTCTTTGAACATTCGTTTACTATTGAGAACTTGTGATAGATACAAAATGTATTTTTGAATGCTGCAGTTTGTTGATTTGATTTTGAGGAAAGATTTGATAAATTTGTGTACTGTGTTGTATGAATATAGACATTTTATGTAGCACTGCATGATCATTATTTTTAAATAAAAATTATAAGATTCGAGATTCTTTTTTAATTTACCATGTTGTGAACGTGTTTTGATTTAATTTGTTTTTGTAAAAATATTATTATTATTTAATTACTCTATGAGCTTGAGTTATCGAGTGGTTACAGTCGATGATGTGGAGTGCGACCCTGGAGCTCAAGCTATCTAGTTTGATTCCTAGGTCACATTAATAGTACATATAGAAAGGTAGTGAAAACTGGGTTTATGATACACATGTGTAGTAAAAGCCTCCATATAAAGTATACTCTCATATATACTCAATATTTATGTGTTGTGTTGTGTATGTACATGAATAAATAAATAAATTATAGATATCTAGAGGTAACTACAGAATATTCCTGGTATGTTAAAGTGCCCGGTTTATGACGAAAGGCTTTTTCACATAAAGGCTGACTCCTATTACATAGGACTCATAACATAAACAGTGAAAAAAGTTTGTTACATAGTACAATGGCATTAAATATCGTAATGTGCACCTCTGCCTACCCTTTCGGGGACAAATGGCGTGATGTTATGCTATATTATGTTATGTAACTACAAAAAGTTTCATGAAAATACACAGCCTGTATTATCAAAGCACGTTCAATACGGTTTTCGGAAACCACATGGTGCTAATTTAGCAAGAAATCATATTGTAATCATCAGATTGTCCAATAACAGTAGCTGTCGAAAATTGAATGACCGATGGCGTGATATTAGCTAATTCCTTATTGGTCGAAAAGATGAAAGTTGTACTAGCTCCATTTGGTCAGTGAAAAACAGTAGTCCCAATTCACAAGAAATACGAACCACAATCCTTGACGATGTCGCGGAGAACCTAACGGATAACCAGGGCTCCGGCTCGACGTGCAGGAGAAGGAACGGGGTGGTTTTTAGTCAGTGAGAGTCTGACACTCCTTCCCGCCTCGCCCAGGCGGGAGCAGTCATTCGATGATTTTGCCCCTTAAAAAAAACCTTGACGATGACTATACAGGGTGTATTATTGCATTGTAAAATCACATGTCTGTTTTATTGAATTGCAGTGTGAAGGCATGAATTGCGAGTCCCGGGTATGTGTGGAATTTAATTACTTTTTTATTTGTATTACGTTAAAGTATGGAGTTTGATCGTTTTTTGAGGGATCTCATTTCAAAATAGTGCATTGATTTCAGTGTCACTAAATATTTTGTACTGTTATATCTAGATATATAACTCTGTATATTTTTTTTTGGAATAGAACATGATGTTGTATTGTGTTGTTTTTTTTGTATTAAAAATGTTATTGTAATTTTTATTGTTGGTCGATCGATCGTAAGCACGACTAGCAAGGGGTCTCATTACTGGGTCTGTTAAAATATATTTGGGATTTTTTGAGAATATCTCAATAGTATTCTGATACTGTGCATAGTTATGTTAAAAGGCTATCCCCTATTACGTAGGATTTAATCCATAACTTATTGAATCCTACTAGTTAATAATATAAATGTGAAAGATTGCCTCATTGGCTGAGTGGTCGCAAGTGCAACTGCCGGGCAAGGGGTCTAGGGTTCGATTCCCGGGTCGGGAAAAATATTACTGGGTTTGCAAAAACCTCAGTAGTAGCACGGAGTTTGGAATTGTGCCCGGTATATGGCAATAGGCTCGCCACCTATTACATGGGACTCATAACATAAATAGTGAAAAGTGGGTGTTACATTGCACAGTGGCATTAAGTGCCGTAATGTGCACCTCTGCCTACCCCTTCGGGGATAAAAGGCGAGATGTTATGTTATGTTATATTATGAAAGATTGTATGTTTGTTAGTCCTTCAGGTCAAAACGGCTGAAGAGATCATGATTAGATTTGAAACAAGGGTAGATTATGACCTGGAATAACACTATATAGGCAATAAGCTACTTTTTATCCTACGGGAATACGGACGAAACCGCTGGCCAGTAAATAAAAAAGTGGGTATACTGTAGATGTGGACTCTACTTACCCCTTTAGGAATTAGAAAGCGTGACGTTAAGATTCATAGTTAATTTATTGTTTTCCAGTGTTGGGGTAAAGGCTGTGAAGCCACAGTAAGTTTGTATGATACTTATTCGTATACTCTTAGTCATACTTTCACAAAACATTTCACAAACCTTTACAATTGTTCATCGCACCTGCTCACAGTAGCAATTTTAAAAATCAAATACGAACATTGGTATTGGTACAAACGACTACAGGTCAAGCTATACTAACCAGTATAAACTGACCGTCAATTGTGCCGTAAGATTATAGGAACCAAGACCATGATATATTGGTTTGTATAGGTTGATGAGTGACCGTGTACAAAGGAAAGATTCGCCTGTATGTAATATTTTGTTCAGGAAAAGAGCAACGTTAATATTGAACCAAGGATATTGATCAAACAGTATGCTGCCCTTCTAATATTTTGTCAGATCTTGAAAGAATATCTATTTGTCTTGTATATTAGTATTTTACATTTCAAAATAGTTGGAGATTTGTGAAGCGATTCCTATATTTGGGAGCAAAGCAAGTGGAGCAACTTTCTTTCAGTGTTTTTTTGTTTTCTTGATTTACGTTTTCTGATAGCAGTTCCTATGGAGAAGAACGACCAAGAAACTCCATAGGTTACTCTTTTCCAACCAGTTTCAAAATACAATTCTTCAGTTACACAGTTTAATTTTTGTGTGTTATCATTATTATTTATATTTATTTTCAGTGTACACTCCTATCCTGTATCTACACTGTCAATGGAGAGACTCTTGTCACAAATGCCACATTTGATCAGTTATATCCGAACTATGACAATAAGCCTAAGAATGATGGTCGTCAAGCCCAGCGTCTGGAGCAACCCGGATTAGACAATACGAAACTAAAAAATGAGGATTATTATTATTAGAAAATTAAAGTAAAGGATACACTAGGAGACAAACGTCCTGGGACACGTGCCGCCAGCGACGTTGGGTGAAGTAACGCGACGTTGGGTAAAGTAACACGACGTTGGGTGAAGTAACGCGACGTTGGGTGAAGTAGCGCGACGTTGGGTGAAGTAGCGCGACGTTGGGTGAAGTAGTGCGAGGTTTTGTGAAGTAGCGCGACGTTGGGTGAAGTAACGCGACGTTGGGTGAAGTAACGCGACGTTGGGTGAAGTAGCGCGACGTTGGGTGAAGTAGCGCGACGTTGGGTGAAGTAACGCGACGTTGGGTGAAGTAACGCGACGTTGGGTGAAGTAGCGCGACGTTGGGTGAAGTAGCGCGACGTTGGGTGAAGTAGCGCGACAATGGGTGAAGTAGCGCGACGTTGCCAGACTTTGATCGACATGTCTGGTAACATCAACGTCGCTGTGGACATAAGTTGCACGTTGTCACTGTATAAATCTGGCGACATCGGCCGGCTTCATTCGATATGTCGCCGATACATGTCTTAGGACATTTGTTCCCAGTGTATCTTTATCTTAATGCTTTTGCTAACTATAGAGGCCATTTTAGCTTAATGTCTTTTGATCTTTAAGAAACGGGATGTAATATTTCTTAATTTTTATTGTTATTAAACGATTTTATCTAACTTGTTCTGTTTGTTTGTTTGGGTCATATTGATCTGGTACTGCCTCGATGGTCGAGTGGTCGCAAGTGCGACTACCGGGCAAGTAGTCTCGGGTTCGATTCCCGGGTCGGACAAAGTATTACTGGGTTTTTTAAAAGAAATCTCAGTGGTAGCACGGAGTCTGGAAATGTGCCCGGTATATGGCAATAGGCTCACCCCCTATTACATGGGACTCATAACATAAATAGTGAAAAGTGGGTGTTACTCCTGTGTGCACCTCTGCCTACCCCTTCGGGATAAAAGGCGTGATGTTATGTACGTATGTATGGAATTTTACCCCCTTCCTGATGACAGATGGATTTGATATTTGGTATTTACTCTTATTCTTGATGTCTGTTAGGGAGAATTTTTTGTGCTGTACAATTGATGATGCTGTTTAGAGGGTATTGGTTTATTTGACGGTAGGTAGGTGTGCTTTAGCAAATATAATATTATACGGCGCGCGACGCGTAGGTTACAGTGCTCTCAGCTGATGGAGTGTAAAAGGACGGGCTGCAACCCTCGCACATGTTGCTCCCCGCGCAGCGCTGTCCCCCTTCTGATGCCATTGCCAGTGGTGCCTCCGTCGACGTCATCGATATGTACGAGAAGTTTCCGAACAATGTCCATATAATATTTTCTATATTTTCCACATCTACCTCCATTATGGATATCAGATATTACAGCTTGATAAGTAGAATACAGTTCAATAAAACCGTTTAAAAAACTTAAAAAATGTTCATTATGTTACATGGCACGAGCGTACCAAGCGATATAAGAAAAAATCTTACTGGAAAAATGAATTTTAACGGATAGTTTAACGTGAACCTGTATTATCATTGTATTTAATTATATTTGTTGTATGTCTGAATAAAGGAACTATAGGGTTATTAATAAATGTATAAGGAGACAGTTCATTATTATATTACATTAATATAGAAAGATAAATTTATTGTTTTATTCTCACCCCTTATTTTGTTTTGATTGAATGGAACCTACCATATTTTTATTTACTAGCGTGAACCTCTCGTTTTCCGTTCAATAAGGTTTTAGCTTGTGTCACTCCAATGTTTGACAGTTACTATGATTGGACAGAAAGCTCTATTCCTACATTTGCATCATCTGGATAGCAAAAATAGGGTAGGCCCCATTGAAACTCCTATAAACCGGGATGTACTGTGTTAAAAGATACGCATCGAAATAATGAAGGTTATAACTAAACAATGTTATGACCCAAATGTCTTTTAGCGCAGAAAAAACATGCTATTTATTTTATAATGTGATAAATAAGATAATTTTCTTTTGACAAAACCTGACAAAAGTGTCTCAGCCAAGTAAAATGATCAACTCCAAGACGTTTTGTCAATTTGCCGATTGGAAGTGACCTCGAAGGCAACAAACCGGCAACCGGTTGGTGGCGTCCATTCGAGAACCTTTTTGCCTCATTGACGACTTTCTGAATGGATTTCGAGCAGCAAAGTTTGTGCGGATAGACAGAAACTATAAGTATCAACTAATAAATAAATTAACACGTTAAACGCCATGGGGGTCACCGGTGACCGGCGTTAGCGGAGGATTTACCTTCAACAGTTTTTTATTGGCAGTCAAAGTCTTAATCAATAGTTTCTTTCATATTCACACGTCTGGTCCAACGAGTACGCTGTTTAACACGTTAACCGCCGCTTAGGTCACCGGTGACCTACGTTAGCGGAGGATTTGCCTTCAGCAGTTTTCAGCCGGCAATCAAAGGCTTAAGCGTGCGTCATACCAGATCTTTTTTGATATCTCACCAATGAGGAAACCAAAATATCTTTCTACTGTCACCTCTCCACCGCCGTCACTTCAGGGAATGATAAATATAAAAGATATATTGAAAAACAGTATTTATTACTATACATACAAATTCTAAATTACATTACAAGTGAATCCTTAATGATAATGGGACATCGGATACAACTCATAGTACAAAGTGATGAATGTTGCAGATTCCTAAGTTTCTAACATCTTTAAAGTGTTTTGAGCTTAGGTTAGGTCAGCTTACTAAAAATTGTTTTTCTGGAGAATTGTGAGTTATTTTTTATTGGTATCAGAAGATGGTGGTTACCCTCTTCTTCTTCTCCCTTCTTTTGTTAATTTTAAAGTTGGTTTACAAATATACAGGGTGTAAAGGTAACGCTTCCCAAAACGCCAACCAAATTTTTTATGTTTACATTAGAGATGATGACAGGGTACAAAAATTAAAAATCTACCTCTATTTAGTCCGTCAGTAAGGTAATGAAAAAATGTTAGACACGTATTTTTTTTACTTTGATGAATAATAAAATGAAATTTAGATATAACGATCCAAATTTAGGAGTGGGAGCTAAACGTCATTTCTACGTATAAAATGTCCATAAAAGTGACGTCACGAGACATTTCTAATCAATTTAATGAAAGTATTCGTTTCTGTAAGAAAATATAAAATACGTGTCTAATGATTTTAAATAATCTACCAGACGGGCATTAAAATAAATTTTTAGACATCTACTCTATTGAAATCGTTTCTTCCTTTGTGTTATGCATTGGTTTTAAGCAGTTGATCACAACTATTGAAATAATTACGTAAAACTAACATTTATTTCCTTGCTTAAAAAAATAAAATAAAAGTCGGTTTCTATCATCACCTGTCTTTCTTGTTTTGGGAGTGTTTTTATTTACACCCTGTACATTTTGTCTTGATACGGCAGGTTATTTAGCCTTAAGACTGGTGCCAGAGCTATACCTCTCATCAACAATTTCATGCAACATTTACTAAATGTTGTTATAATTACTATCAAAAGACATAATTAACTAGAAATGACGGGTCACTATAACTGAGAATAGCTCTATTAGTTACGAGTCACAGCGACGTCGCCGCGACTGCGCACGCGGCTCACGAGGAAGAGTCCCTTTGGAACTCGAAACAAGTAGAGCCTTTCTCAGTATATTTACGTGAGTAACCAGTCATGTCTAGTAAACGATTCTAAATGTTACTCAAAGTCTTAGGTAGTAATCGCAACAAATTACTGTTCCTCAAATAAGTAAGTTTCTTCTTCATATAATCAATGAATTGATCGGTTAATTGGACATTTATAGCGTAATTTAATGATATTTTTTCATCATCGTTTTTAGTATCATCATCGATTTCTAATTGTTCGAAGTTTTGACCTTTATTATCGATTCCACCTTCATCTTTTTTGAGAATGGAGACGTCTTCATCACTTGTGACGTCACCCTCAATGTAGTCTGGTTTTGTTATTGGTATTTCATCAACATTAGAGTCTGGACTGACGGACTTTTGGCAGTTCCTGCCGGAACACTGTGAATAAAAATTTGCATTTTCATTTTATTTTTTTTTTGACGTGACTACGTCTTATAACTTTAAGATACTGTGTTACGCTCCGCTCACGTTATGCGCTCACAATGAGAGCGAGTAAGAGGCACGCGTCCCTTCCACTCGGGCATGGTTAGCCCGCCTAAGAGCGAGAGAGAGAGAGTGAGAGAGGTAGGCATACACACCGGTTCATGTCTATACGAATGAATATTCACATTAAAATTATTTTACCACTCAAAGTCGTTGTCACGTAAAACTTTTTTCATTTGATCCCACCATTTTGACAGACACATATTCGGGACAGATTAAAACAAATGTCAGTTGTGACTCTTGAAATTGACACAACCTTTTTATTTATTATAAACGATTTACATGAAACAAAGCCTAAATGTTAAGTGAACCTTACCAAAATATGTCAATGGCAAATGCATCTAAATCTAATTAGCGGTTTCTGAGTTTATCTCGCGCAAGTACACAGACAAACAGACAAAAATTGTCTATTACAGTTTTGGGTTCAGCATTAATTATAGTAACAGTCCTTGCTATTTTTTTTTTAATTTCTAATGAAAACATACGGACAGCAGTTTTATATTATTACTATATAGTATAAAACAAAATCGCTATCCGCCGTCTGTCCCTATGTATGCTTAGATCTTTAAAACTAGGCAACGGATTTTGATGCGGTTTTTTTAATAGATAGAGTGATTCTTAAGGAAGGTTTATATGTATAATACATGAAAATTGGACCCGCGCGAAGGAGGGGCGAGTCGCTAGTTTTATTATAATATTATGTAGATTTTGTTATGAGTTTCACTATAATAGACTGGATTATAGTAGTAAACAGGGTGTAAATGGATCGCTCCCGAAATGTTGACAAATAGAAATATTTTTTTCAATTATAATCGTTTTTGTTTTCAGCCTTGAGCAGTTGATTACAACTATTATTCCATAAAATAAGTCCTTAC